TTCTTTCTTTCTTTCTTTCTTTCTTTCTTTCTTTCTTTCTTTCTTTCATCTCCCCATCATTGTGGCGATCTATGCACAGTCCCATCCTTATTTGAGCTTCTTGTTTGGATACCTTCTATAGGCATTAACTGGAGAGAAATCTGGCTTCTTCAGAAGATGGTGAATTTGTCCCCCTTCGTAGGAGACACCCAATTTTTCACAGTCCAGGAGTATTTCTGCCCAGGACAGGCCAGAACAGAAGAAGAAAATCAAAGTCCACTTGAGCGTGAAGCTGAACAGCTCTGCCTCCCCAAGGCTTAGCAGAGACACCCCCTACCGAAAAGCTGGCCGCCAAAACAAGAAGCCTTGCCCAACGACCCACACAGGAGACCCACAGACCCACAACCACACAGAGGTTGCTAAGGACCTCGGGTCATTACCTGCCAGGAGGTGAGAAAATCCACCCAGGAAGATGCCAGCCAGCAGAGGATTCATGGCCGCTCCCCCGGACGGCATGGGTGATGGTGGTCCCAAGAGGAAAGGTACGAAGGGCTGAAGCGGAGCTGGATTGGACCGGAACGCGGTTTCTTTCACTCCTGGGTGCCAGGCACACACAACGGGCCTCTTCGGAGAGACGCAAGGACTCTTGCTCCTTCAGCCGGCTGCTCGATCTAATCCATCTCAGCTCTAAATCTTCCCAGCTGGCTTCTGTCCCAGCTTGACAACATGTTTCGCCTACTGCCCTCCCCTGCAAGGGGAGTGGGAGATGGGCCTACGCAGGAGAGCCCGCTGGTCCTGGGTGCCCTCCCTTCCCTCTTACTGCTGGGAATGGGAGTGGAGGCCCATTACAGCGGGCAGGGTAGCAAGCTAGCCTCCTGAAGCCAGCCGGCTGGGAAGACTATCCTCAGCAGGTTGGACTAAATCCGTCTTTTCTTGGACTTCTTGCTGTCCAACTGGGCCCTATAGCGGCCCTTCCTGCTGATGTTGACCCTTGGGGGGCAAAGCGCAAAGAAGAGCAACTAAGGTGATGAAAGGGCTGGAGACGGGTGGGCTTCAAAAATGGTTGCTGGGTGGATGTGGCCATGGTGGGCGTCGTCACAACTGGAGACCTTCCTCTCCAGGTGCAGGGTAGCTTGGCCTTGACTCTCGGGAAAGAATGGTGTTGAATCTAATCTTCTGCCTCTCTATGAACCCCCCCCCTCCCAAGTTCATAGGCACTAAACGTGGCAGCCTTGAAGCTTCCAAGAAAAATGTGGCTTCCAAGGCTGACAGCGTGTGTGTGTGTGTGTGTGTGTGTGTGTGTGTGTGAGGGGAGGGGGGCAGCACAAGTGTCCTGGAAGCCTCTTGGGTCCAACTCACATTAGAAGAGCCCCCTGGAAAGAGCTGAGCCCAGCCTGCAAAAACGGTCAAAATTGTTTGCTAACATTTTCTTCAAAAATGTTAGCAAACAATTCTCTACCCGGTTGCCGGGTGGGTGTTGAGGTAATTCCCCGTTAGGAGAATGAGCGCATCCAGGGAGACCTATTTGAGAGAAGTGTTTGAATAGTACACACACAGCACACAGATACACTGTACAGGAAATGTAGGTTTTTACTTTCCAGAAAGGTTTAAGCAAAGTTCAAAATAAGCAGTCCAAAAGTCATTGCACAGGTAAATCAGTCAGTTTTTCAATCCAGGGATAATCCAATAACAAAGTCCAGTGTCAAAATCAGTTCGGTAAAAGACTTACATCAAATCCAAGAATATCAGTCAATTAGAAGGAACGGTAAAACTCTCCAACAGAAGGAAACAGAGACTTACTCACACTCTCTTCTGAGACTAAGACTCAGACAACCCAGGTTTCTGGCTCCATCTTATGGCCATTTGAGAAACCGCACCCAATTACACTTTGAGGATTCTCTGAAAGAGACAGTATTAAAATGTCTATCCTGGTTTATATATTTCTAACCCAAATAGCTGTTAGGTGACTTATATTCCTAACAGTGGGCGTGGCCAGGGTGGGTGTGGCCTAGTCGGCCTCCTGCACCATGGCTGGAGGGGGGAGGATTTTTGCCCTCCCTGGGCTCCTGAGGCTTTCCTTGAGCTTCCGGGATGGCAAAAACGGCAGAGACTAGTGTGTGAGCATGCACAGAGGAGCTGAGCTGGGGCAACGGCTCTGCATGCCACTTCTGACACATGTGCCATAGGTCACGGATCTATCACGGGTCTATGGGCAACCAGAAAGTGTGCTCTGCAGTGTCTCAGCTGGACAGTTGGTTTCATCTCATTGGTCTGCGAGTAAACGAAACTGAGCAGGACACAAGTAAGGCAGACTTAAATCCCTTCTCTTGAAGAAAGCTCACCACCAGGTTTTCTTAACCTTTCGGATTTCTCGTCTTTTCCACAAGATGGCAGCCTCACAATATTTTAGAAACACGATTCCCAAGAGCCAGTGTTTTCAGAGCTATCTGGTCCCATGGAATGGAGTATTTATTGTAAAGGAACTTAGAAACGAGGTTTCGTCTGTACATTACGGCTCTCTCTTCCATTAATTCAGGAAAGGCACGAGTGGATATTACTTGTTAATGGAGCAAGCCTTGTATTTCTCCTCCGCTTTTGCACAAATCCCAGTTTTAAAATACATTCTGGGGGTTGATCTCTGCAAGGCCCCTGGTGCTCTCTGAGGTTGATTGTTTTCTTGCAGGCGTCTCATTATACAGCCAGGTAACATCATCAGTGCTGGAAGGAAGAGGAGGGAGGAGGAGGAGGAGGTCTGTGGGGTCCTTGGTGCTCTCTGAACTTGGCTGTTTTGTTGCGGATGTTTCGTTGTCCAATTAAGTAACATCATTAGCACTTAAACCACCAAGGACCCCACAGTCATCCTCCTCCTCTCTAAGACCCCCTCCCTTCTAGCACTGATGTTGTTACCTAGTTGGGTCATGAAATGTCTGCAAGAAAATGAGAGAGCTCCAAGGACGCCACAATTCAACCCTGAGCTGCAAATATTCTCTTCTGTCAATCTCTACAAAGAAAGCACTGTGAAATCTAGCAAAGACAATGAGGCCCTTTCCACGTGAGTGAGATCAGAGAAAGCACATCGTAAGATTTGCCCGCACCGAGCATAAACTCCAAGAGGACACAGCAAGCATTGCTTGGGCCAAATATCACCATATGAAGCGTTCTGTGAAAGAATCAAGATCACGTGAAGATGAACAACGAACAAGTTAATTAACAATTAACTTGCCTCCAGAAGTTGTGAATGCTCCAACACTGGAAGTTTTTAAGAAGAGATTTTAAGAAGGCATTTTGTGATGACCCAGCGTGCAACACAAATGTAACAAAATCCAAAACGTACATAAATGTCCTTTAATGCCTCCAACTTGGCCCCACTGTTCAATAATTCTCAGTTGGAGATAAAACGTACTCAAAAATAGACTTCAAAAGAAAGCAATACAGTCCAAATTGAATGAGCAGATAGAGGTGAAATTTTAAAAAAACCAAAGAAACTACAATGACGAAATTTCTACAACGGAACAGGAGAAGTATTTACCAAATTCAAGGAGATAACAAGGCACAGTCTGTTGGAAGGACGCCAACCAAGATAACTTCAGACCAAAATAAAACAAGCTTTGTTTCCAGCGTTTGCCAGTACGCAGGTCCAAACTCTTATGCAGTTGTCACAGCTGCAGCCCATGAAGAGGATCAAGGCCCTCTCCTCCCGAGTAGACCACGTCTCTCCCTTATCCTCTCCTCCCTGCGTCCCCTAGGATGGAGAGGGGATTGGCCTCTGACTGCCCAGCCAGCCTCTGCCCTTCCCCAGCCTCCTCCACAACCTTCGGAGCCACAATGCTACTCCCTGTTGGTTGGTTCTCCTCTTCCTCAGAGTCAGTCTCCACCAGGGACATGACACATTTGTCTC